CGATGGCTGGGAGATTGGGTATCTGGACCAGCCGTGTCAGGTAGAGGAAGAGACCTTGTTTGGACTGCACATTATACTGGCCTCCCGTGGCTTTCGAAGGCCAAGGCTGTCCGGGTGGAATTTGTTCCTTCGTCCCACGTGTTTCCTTAGATTTTCTCCGTGTTTCAAAATAGTGCGGACGGGCGATTGCGCGTAACCAAACCATCATGTTTTCCCTTTTGTTCCTTTCCAGAGTTAGTTTTCATTGGATGCGCTTCACTCGTGTCTTAGATGTAACTCTTCACCAGGGGTTGGGCCTCTCGTTACCCACTTTCTTCACTTGATCTTAGCCAAAAGGCCGAGAAGTGATTTTTACCCACTTTCTTTAAAAATAATTTTTGGACATGAATTCGTCATACGTTGTTCATGTTGGCCGCAAGAGATCCATGCAGTTAACAAAACGTTGTTTACTGATGTATTGGAAATGAAAATATGTATAATTTGTATTTTTTTTATTTTCTGCTTTTTAAGAAGTTTAAAAGGCCATTACCCCCTGACGAAAAGAGTGAAACGTTTAAGAAGGCATTGACTACCGGAGATATTTCCTTAGTAGAGGAGCTTCTAGATTCTGGTGAGAATAAAGGGAAAGTGTCTGCTGAAAACAATTGTTTAAGTTCCCAAGGGTACCGCCTTTTATTTTTCTTTTTAAAAATTGTGTTGGTACGTGTTTGCAGTACATCATAATTACATTCATTGTAGGAAGTTGTTACATATACATACCACATCTTCCTTTTTAAAATTTCCCTTAACCTCCCTCATTTTAAAAGCTTTGTGTTGCTTTTCTATTTAATACACAGTGAATGTTAATGTACCAGTTGTCCTACATATGTCGAGTCTGAGTTCTCTGTGCTTTATTTTATATGTGTCCATCCTCACATTGAATGTCATCCTAAAAACCATCAATTCTTCCAAATTTTTTCAAGAGTCCTATTCTTAATGATCCAACCCCACCCAGATCATTCTTGTTCAGCATTTACTTGGCTGTGTTACATGTCTTTTGAGAATTGTTTCTAGTTATGTACATGGTGGTTTTCTCCTTCAGTTTTTTTATTTGGTTTTGGTGGATTGAGGTCTGGGCCATATAGCAGAAAATGGAAGCCACCATTTGAGGCAGTCACCTTTATTAGCTTCAAAATGTCTGCAGTTTTTATTGATGTCTCCAGTTTTTATTACTCTTCCATGTATTAACATTTATATATATTTAGCTTAATATTTTCTCCCAATGATTATCATGTACCTTATATTAAAGTGATACAGTTGAGAATTGGACATTAAATAGTCTTTTGGTGACTTAGTGTTTCAACAGAAAAATCAGCCCCCTCCCAAGTTTTCATTCCCACAATAAGTAATATGACTTTCATCTTCATAAGTGGAACACTTTATAGTCAGGGACTATAAAATCTGTAAGTCATAAAGTGTCACACTAGGCCCATATTCAGTGGTTTCATATTCAAGTTATTTAAAACAGAAAATTATTCTATTTTCCTTCTTTTCTTAAGATTAACAAATACTTCTTAGGCCAAAGAGAGTGCCGCCTAAATCTTGATCTCATTGATGAGGCTTTACATAAATTATTGTTATATTCATTGATTTAATTGTATTTTTATCCTGGTATTACAGCTTTTATGTTCCTCCCCAGTTAGTTCAGGGTTTTGTTTTTCCCTATCAGTTCAGCCCCCCCCTTTTTTTATATGACCAAACCAATCAGTATTGTGAGGAAAAATCATATAATTCCAAGGATTTAATAATTTGAGGACTTTAAAATACTAATAATTTTGCCTTAATAGTTATTACCCATCTCATATTGAATAGTGCATATTTAAAACTTTATTCCTAAGGCCAGGTGTGCCATCTATGCCTCTTTATTGTAGCTCAGTGCTTGTTACTCATTTGTCTAAGGGACCTAATAGCAATTTTTTAATTTATTCTTTTTCATCATCTCTCCTACTCAGAGTAATTTTAAATTCTGATGATCCTGCCTTTGAGTCTCCTTGTTTTCTTTCCTCTTTCTCTACACTGTCCTTGGTTTGATTTTTGTATAGACTTCAAGGATCATACTGGTCTCTTTACCTTTCTCATTCTCAATAGTAGTGTACCTGTGTTGTCTTTGTAATATAGATAAAATGACTGCATTTCATAACAAGCTTTCATAATCTAACTCTGATCTGTATTTTTAGCTTTGTATTCTGTCATCCATTTGTATGTTTTGTGCTGGGAGGGAAGTGAAGGATGGCATTTACAGTCATAGAGATGTATGTTATTTCTCAGGGGTAATATTCTAATTTAAGAAATATATTATCTCTGTGAAAACTTTCCTAACTCCTCTTGAGAGATGATAGCATGTAGATACCTCTTATACTATATATCTATTTTATATATTGTATGATAAAACAGTGGTCACATCATATTTCTTGGACTATAGTGCCTACAGTGAAACTGAAGATAGCAAGTTTTCTTGAAGTTCCTATATAATTTTTTCTATTTTTCTGAGGCTATTATTACCAAGAAATAATCCTCTAGAATAAACTTATGTGGTGTATATTAGTATTTTCACATACTAAAATGAAAATTGTTTTATTGTTTTTAGTGCAGAGGTTTTTAAAAGATTGTTTTTATAATGACAGGTATTAACATAGATTCTAGCTTTCGTTATGGATGGACTCCTCTTATGTATGCTGCCAGTGTTGCCAATGTAGAACTGATTCGGCTCCTTTTGGACAGAGGTGCTAATGCAAGCTTTAATAAAGGTAAGATGATAGAGAAAATGTAACTGCTTAGGTTTACTGTGATTCTTTTTTTTTTTTTTTTTTTGGTACCAGGGATCAAACTTGGGACCTTGTGCTTGTGAGGCAGGCAACTGAACCACTGAGCTAAATCCTCTGCCCTACTGTGATTCTTTTATTCCCAAGCAGCTGTTATGCAAAGTGAAAATAAATTAAAGCAGCTTGAGAAAAACCTAGTTGTTAGGTTGCGTTTTATAAATATTATGCACAATTGAATTGGAAACCTACATATTTAAAAAGTTATTTCCAAAAAATAAAAAGTTCTTTCTATGAAAATAGATTCCAGATATTGTATCTTTATAACATATAATGTTAACTTTTACCTTCTGGGCTTGAGGGTTTTGGTTATTTTTAAAGGAAAAATGCTTTCAAAGAAACATCAAAAAACTATTAATTTCCTGGAAAATTGCTTGAAAATCAGTCTGTGGAATTATAAACTCAGCTCTGAGTTTGTATCACTTAAAATTGCTTCAATGATAGTTTAATTCAAGTATATTTTATTAAATAGTTTATTAAATAATTTCTACTTGGTAGTTCTTTGAGTACTTTTAAAGAACAAGTGGCTGTGTAAATTCATTATAATTTTTTGTTTGCAAACAAGGGCCTTTTCCCCCTGAGCTACATCCCTGGCCATTTTTTATTTTGAAGCAGGCACTTGAACCACAGAGCTAAATCTCCAGCCCATTTTTTTATTTTGAAACAGGGTCTTGCTGCATTGCCCAAACTGGGCTCAAACCAGTGGATCCTCCTGCCTCAGCCACCCAGAGTGCTAGGATTACTGGTGTGTGCCATCACACCTGGCCAGTCTAATAATTATATTGAGTTACTGATTACTTATTTTTAACATGTTTTTCATATGTAATTGAACATAGTTCACAATTCAGGTATAGATTTTATTTCACTATTAATTTTCACATTAATTTTGTACCTACTTTTGAGATTTATAAAATAGTTTTTATTCTGTTTTCTTTGATGAATTTTACAAAAATTCCTTACTTTATCTTTTTTATTATGTTGTTTTAAAATACCACACAATGAAAGCAACACTTAAGAGTGAGATTTTTTGTGCTCAGAGATTTAGCTCAGTGATGCTGCCACCTGTCTAGAAAGCACAAGGTCCTAAGTGACCACAGGTACCAAAAAAAAAAAGGTATTTACAAAGTCTATAAATTATTATGCTTAAAAATTGATTATTTTCTTTTTATGCTTCTTATACTAGAAATGCGGAAATGTTTATAAAACACTTCATATTTTTTCACAGAATGTACACATAAATATCCCTACCAGATTAAGGAGATTAGGTGTTAGTTTTACATCTTTAAATGTAAATCTAATGATAGAATAAGACATCACTAGAATTCTAGTTTATCAGTGGCAAAACTAGGACCAGAATCTTTATGTTCTGTCAGCATTGAGCCATTAATGTTATCCATGGCTATGGTGACCTATTTTGAATTCCTTGAGTTCTCAAATGAAATGTTTTTGTTTTTAATCTAGCCCAATGTCCATTGATGCCATGGTAGCCAAGAGGAGAGGAGTTTTAGGAAATGGAGTGAGTTCAGAGAGATCAAGTAGAAAAGGTCTGAAAAAGAACAATAAATGTGGCAGTGATGGTAGTTCTTAAGGATAATTTATAAGCCAGGATTTCAAGAATTGTCAAATGGAAGAAAAAGGAGTGAAACCAGAGAATATAGATAGTTTTTCCAGTAGTACTTTCAGCGATACAAATTTTAATAAACCAGTACTTATTCATATCTGAGCAGTGTGGCTACACAGAGTGTATGTGCTTAACTACTTTCCATTCACTTGAAGAAATGAGAATAGGGGAAGGAATTTTAAAAATTATACATGTATTTTGGAGATCAAAGGGATTCAGACCTGATCTCATGTGTTGTTGAGTTACCTACTAAAAGTGAAAGATTTAGAAAGTAGTTGTGGAATTTTAAAGTGTAATATTTAGAATATTGAATGGTAGAGAAGTAAATTAGATATGCTTTCCTGTTCTATTTGCTATAGATAAGCAAACTATTTTGATGACTGCATGTTCTGCTCGTGGCTCCGAGGAACAAATCTTGAAGTGTGTAGATCTGTTACTTTCAAGAAATGCTGATCCAAATGTTGCTTGTAGGTAAGACCCTTACTGTATGTTCAAAAATGTTAAACATACTTTTATTTTATTATTATCCTTTTAAATATTTGATAGCACAAATTTTACAAAATTTGAACAGTGTTTACTTGGTCAAATGGTTATTGAATAAAATAGGGGCATATGATCAGGATTCTAGTTGTATAAGATTATGAAAAGGAAGAGAATCCCATGAAGGTAATTTTTCTAGCTTTAATATTTAGAGGAATATTACAAGAATTTGGAATGAGAAGGAAAAGAAAATAGTGACGAATCATTTCTTGTGAATCATACACTCAAAAATATTATTGAGCTATATGAATAAACCTCTTCGGCATTTCTCGGTATAATACTTAACAGTTTTACATAAATATTAAGAAAATACATCAAAGCATTTCAGTTTTCTTGTTTCTTCCAAATAATTAGTTAATAACATATGTGATAGTCTCTAGATATCAAGAAGAAAAAAATATTTCTTGTGTCTGTTAAAGTGTCAGTAATAAAGAGAGTCAGATTGCTTAAAATTTCTATCACATTGACATCTTTGTTGTCTGGCCCCATCTTCCAGTTCATTCTCCTATTAAATCTCATTGTGTTTTACTTCAGAATGAAGAGAGTAGAATTTAGCTCATATAACAGAAATGTCCAGCATAAATAGAATCATTTTCATAAATCATTAGTTCAAAAAATGATGATTTGGTTCTGATGTATAGAAAAAATTATGCATGACTTTAGAAGTTTCCTTCTAATTTAGTTTCTGTGATATGTGGACAGCAGTCTTGGAAGGCAGTGTATGATTTAGATAGTTTCTAGATCTTTGCTAAGATAAAAAAGATTTTCATCTACTTGGAGCAAGGTTTGATCTTTTTTTTTTTTTCCTGTATGAGAGATCTTTATTAAAGAGCCTAGGTGGCACAGTGGGCTGCTTGGCAGAAAGGGAACAAAGGAGAGAGGGAGAGAGAGAACAAAGGTGGGGGGGCAGGCGGAAAGGGAACACAGGGCAGAGTTACACAGTGGGTGACGAGTGTGGGTGGGTCAGAGAGCCTTTTTTTGTTTTGTTTTATATCCCAGTGGATGTTTGGCAATGAGTGGAGATATATTTTTTTATTTTTCTTTTACTTTTTTTTTTTGGTTCTGGGGATCGAACTTAGGATCTTGCACTTGTGAAGCAGGACTGGAGATATTTTTGATTCTTACACATGAAAAATGTTACTAATATTGAGTGAATGGAGCCAGAGATGGTGTTAAATATCCTCACTGTGCAGAATAGCCCTTCCAAACAAAATGTCAGTCCCAAATGTCATTAATTCCAGAGTTGAGAATCTTTTCATCTAGTGTGGGAAAGTCCACTCTTGTAGAGCAGATAATCAATATTTAAACAGATTAAAATAAAAAAGAAGTGATAAGGAAACTCTGCAAACTTAGCACATCAATTCACAGGAACTTTTATTCTATCATTTATGGTATAACCTCTATTTGATGTAACTTCTGGATTTAGTTACAACTTGAAACTGGGACATTTGTTTCAGATCACTCTGCTGAAATAAATTTCCATGGGTTGTAATTCATATTTACACATTGAAAAGTAGCCTAAGATAGATAAGATGTGCCTTTCTGGGTTCAACGGAAATTTGGTTTTTGCTTGAATTTTTTAAACTACTTCTACAAGATATTATAAATAGTAAAGCCATTGCACTTTCGATTACTATCATATAAACACACTGAAGGAGTAGTTAAGCCACTGTCATAGGTTCTAAACTATTTGCCTCCTCCAAAACTTAATGGCATCATTCAGATATATAGGCTGTCTCTGGATAAACAGATTCCTTTTGCATTAAAATGACACAAGATTAGTATCACATACTAAAAATAATAGCGTAACTACACTATAAGGCAGTTTTAAAACCAAAAACCCTAAAATAGCTGATGAATTTGAAGGAGCACAAGATTTAGATTGGTATGTACTCAACTAAAATAAATAGAAAATCTTATAGCATTGGTTAAGAAAGCAGTTTGCATTTAATTATTGGATGTGAGAAATAACCTGAAAAACAAATTAACTCGTTTTTCTTTTTTAATATTCAAAGCATTAAACAATAAAGTGATTGAATTGTATTTACTTGATAGATCTAAAAATAAATAAAAATTATTATGTGTACTGTGGGCAATTTTTTGTTTTGTTTTGTTTTGTTGGTACTGAGGATCAAACTGGGGACCTTGAGCTTGCGAGGCAAGTGGTAGAACCACTGAGCTAAATCCCTGGCCCTTGTGGGTGATTTTGTAAGGATAGCACTAGTGAACACATAGTTCAGGATAACATATATCAACATAAGAGGGAAAAAAAATCTCAGACACAAAAAGGGTACAGTGAGATTTGAGGGGAATTTTATAGATACATCATTAGCAATGACAAAAATCAAAACCTATGTTAATAGAGAGATTTAGTTTCATGTAAAATTTGACAAAAGATAACAGGGATAGATGTATCAGGGAAGAACTATTCAGATGTCAGGGAGAAAAACAGATCTTTGGATGAATTTAGTTTTAGTCTGTTGACACATCTATTTGTCAAGCAGTTCTTTCACTGAGAAAAATTACCCCTTAAGAGAAAGCACAGGAGAAAAATTGGCCCTAAAGCTTATTAATGACTAATTTTTATGATAGCTAGATTGTAAGACACTTGATAGTTGGAAAGAAAAGTTGACCTCTAATTTTTTAATATTAATGAAAATGAGATCTATAGTTCTGTCTGGTGACATGGAAGTAATAACAGAATCTTAGAAATTAACCTCTAAGGTAGACACTGAAGTCTTAGTTCTATATGTAAACTTCAGTCTGTGGAAACAGCTCAA